GCAGCCCATCTACGCGTGCCACGCACGACCTGGTTCCTGCACAGTGCGCCAGGTTTTTACAGGGACGGCCCCGGTCTCAGCACGGTGGGAGTGACATAAAGGCCACGCGAGCTGTTAAACCTGACTTTTAGTTCTCTTGGCAGTCTCTCCACATGCGTACAAAGTACTGATCAAGCGGATGTCTGTGATGCAGGTGTCAGTTTACACCGCGACTGGACAATAGCGGTGAGAGAAACGCGGTGCTCAGTTAAATTAGCAGTTACTCGTTCGTCTTAAGATCTGGATTTTATCCGGTTTTTAGTCATCTATATTTGCTTTAGAGCTGTTACCTGGGTAAGGTGTGGTTTAGTAGCCCCATCTGATGGACACAATACTGTTGGGGTTGATCTTAAGGCTTAGAGTTAGGGATTATGGTTAGGGGTTAGGATTACGGGTGGGGGCTAGAGGTTAGGGTTTAGGGTTAGGAGTTATCGCAACTATTTCTCAGCCATCCAAAGTACAAAAGCGCATTCTCAATTACATTTCTTTTGCATACAACTACTTGACTTCGTCGCCTGTGCGTTCCCCAGCCCCACATGTAAAAACCCCTATTATCACCGGGCCCGTATCAGAGGTGACTGGGATTTGTTTACTTCAGGTGGGTCTACATAACCACATCCGACTGTCGCCTGCTTCAGTCTATTCGCGCAAAGCTGTCGAGTTCACGGTCGTAGAGCTGAAATGTGTGATCAACCTTAAAAATCGATCTCAACTCCACCAGTTCTAAGACCTTCACAATTTCTCTGTTCCCGCCTTCTGATGCCGCAATTTATCGTTAATTGACTGTTGTGTGGGCGTTCTTTCATAACCTTTAAAATAACGTGGGTGAGGCTAGAAGGCCGCAATGATCACACTTTTCAAAAGCCGCATACTGCGCCTGGAGCTTGTATCAACTCTACCATTACAAGTTTTTCAGAATGGCAACATTACCGACCTCCGGTGTTATGCACTACCAGGGAAACGATATGTTATTTGAATAAAACAGTTAAACCTTTTTTCGGTGTCATGAAGCACGCCTAAAAATGAAGGGCAGGCAAAGCATAGATAATCTAGTTGAGTCTGACACTGACAGTTGTTATTTCTTCAACCTATTTCTGTTTTTAAAGTAAGTGAACATGTTCACGCACAAGGGGGACTGCGGAGAGTTGACTGGTGTCTCAAGACAAATGACTTTCATCAGCCGCTGTTAGGAACTACAAGTAAACTTCTCCTTGTCAAGTAGCCAATAGGCTAATTCTGCTATAGGACACATCCTTCTAACATGAGCACGTAAAAGATCTACTCTAACAAGCCGTGCGGACAGAATTCTCATTTTGAACCATATGCGCTGAGCATGTCCGGTTGTCATTATTGATCAGGAGGGGGGCTTGCTGAAAAGAGCACGAGGCAAATGTGCTGCCGATCCCGCCTGCTTTTGTCGGTATATTTCTGAGCTTAGATTGATGGTCGCTATGCAACTGCATTTGTGGGCCACCGAATGACCCCCAAGGTATAATAGGACGAGTAGGTCGCATAACCCGATCAGTGAACGCAAATCCAACACAGCTGACATTTCCGATCGTAACCGACAGGGCATCGGGTCTGTGGGTCAATGGTAAAGTGCTCGAAACAATGATCAATGATCCCCGGTTCGAGTCTCGGGTGTTCCAAAACTGATGTTAGGTATGGCTGGCTGAGGACGGTTAATAGGCCAAAAATGACCATCCGAGTCCCCTTGCCCTTGTCGTTACTCCTATCAGTACATGTTGACGGTCGCTGTACGACTGGCCTCGCGGGCTCCAGACTGAGCCTGCCTTATAACCTGGCCGGCGAACGCAATCCCAACATTTCTGCGATGCGTTGTGACATTTGTCCAAATGAATTCGATTCAGAAGTTTACGGCACTCGGGATCAGGGCCTCAAGCTCTGCTGCATCAGCATACTGTTACGGATAATGAGTCAGAAATGATCATTCGAGTGTCTTTTGTTTTGTCGAAGCATGTCTGGATTATTACCTGCAGAATTTTGGTTAAAATCATGAAGAACACACAACTGCCCAGTTTGTGTCGGGCTTTTCGAACACGGTAGATAAACAACCGTGTGAATAACCAGAAACTAATTGCTAGGCTGAGAGACTTCTCGGTTAAGCGGATGTGCAGAACAGACCACTAAGAAGAGACAAAACAGTGCGGAAATGGCACAAAAGTGGCCAGCTGATTTCTAGACCTTTAAAGTGAGATATTTGCTCTTGATCGACCTCATTACTTACGGGGAGATTTTTTGATCCCCACTTGCATTGTAGACACCATCCAACCAGACGGTGACGATTTATTTGTGCGTTTGAGCGGCGTGCCAACAGGATCATGGGTGAATTTCGCTGCTTCTGTGTCTATCCGTCCGTCCGTGCGCGCGTGCGTATGAACATCAAGCAGCCGTATTGGTGGCGTGAGGTCTTTGATTGGCCACGAATTTGTGCGTCACGCTCAACTGATTGGCTGGACAAAAACATGCGCGTCGGCCAATCGTTTCCTCAACCGGCATTCGCGCGGACGGGCTTTGCAATACTGCGCTGTCGGACCCATTATGGGGATATCACAAACGATTGCCCAGTCATCGCGCGATCCAAACTGAATTATTACTAACAAATAAACTTCAAGCCTGCGCAGTTGTATATTAAAGAGGGGGTAAGTGTTGGTTAAGCGATGAGGCCACAGGGGATGGGAGATCAGGGGAAGAAGGGTCACACATGCGGTAAGAGAGGACAGGGAGCGGTAATGAATAAGGGAGGGGGGGGCATCGTGCAGGACACGGCGCCCACATACCGGGAGAGGGGAGAGAACCCAACTGGTCAGTTGTCGTGTCGTGTGGGGTGACACGCCGCATGGTTACAGTCAGGGAACTTTAAAAACTTACGGTCTTTTGGGAGCAGACGACAGAATTCCGATTGGCGCATAAGTGATCCTCTTCTACCAGCTTACTCCAGAGTTCCAAGTACGTCGTTTTAGCTTAATACAGCCGACTCACGACAGAACTGGGTCTCGGAAAAGTAAACGTGTGTCCGAAAAGCAAGCATGTGTGAATTAGGCTCACATAGATCTTCCTGTCAAATCCAAGAGTGATGAGAAGTTTCCTCAAGCAACCTAAAGCATCGTCAGGTGGTGCTTCATTGCTTTATGCGGAACCCTTGTAAACATATTGGTCAAGTCGAGCTTAAAGTATAAACAACCTGCAATAGTTGGCTTTATCTGTCGACTTTCCTATGGGCTGCTTGAAACCCTTAATTCATTATATCCAATTTATTATAAACTAGCGGTCAGCCTTCGAAGTGAATTCTTATCCCTCGAACAGGGGTGGAATATATGAAAAAATAGAAGAGGTTCTTCGGGAAAATCGAGTTGTACTCGATATATAGCGGTTGCATTTGAGAAAAAAAGGAATATTCGTATGCCGTTGTGTTCTGCGGATACTTTCTGGGCCACCTTTAAGACGATCTTCAGACAGGCCCAAAACGCCATCAGTAAAAGATGCCGTAAATCAATTATTTCACTCAAAGCTAATGAGTTTCCTTACAAAACAGATGCTCATCATCCATTACGTTAATACAAATTTTTTCACCCCTCCAAGGCAAGTTAAAAAGCGCGCTTCCCACCCGCATCAACACTTTGCAAAGAACTTAGTATTATTAGACACTTTCGATAGGATCTTTCTACGCATTCAACAAATAATGAAAATAGATCAGGTGGACTTGCATACTTTTGCTTATAAAACGGAAGACGAATTTAAATTGATTAATCAGTGTATGTGGAGTTTTTTTGGGTGGTTCATTTGGCAAACACAATGCCGGATTTCTTTGAGGGAACAGTGCAATGAAATAGTATGGGCAAATGAAACTGCGTACAGGAAAATTTTAAGAGAAAAAGCATAGCAGATGACGCATATTTGTCAGACAGTACCACCGATACACAACGTCTGATTCGAGTACTCTCTCAAAGGGCTTTCAGCATTGTCTTAGAAGATTACTGATAGAAACACGCAAATTAGGTGACTTCCTCATTCAGTACTTATTATTATTACCACTAAGTACTCAGGCGTTTCGGCTAGGCCTTGAGAATGCATGACTGGCTAAAAACACGTGAGCCAACTGTCATGTTACAGTCAACTGGCAGTGCGAATTGCTCATGTGCGACAACCTCCATCACTGGGACGACGGTCATCCACGCTGACCGGAGCAGACACATAGGAAGCGCTTGAGCGCTCCTACTCAAGTTATATTGTAATAGTGCAAGATGTGACCCAGAACCAAAAACCAAAAGAAACTCGACAACCAAACATCAAGCGCCTTCCCCCCCCCCCCCTCCCACACGACATAAATTGACGTCAGCCATCCGACTCGCCGATTAAAGCTCACTGTGAGGAGGAAAAGTTTAAATCATGCCTCAATGGTGGCGACTTAGTACTGAGGGGAAGTACGTATGCGAGCGAGTGAAAAAACGGAGCTCGCTCTGGCGTCCATGCTCTGCTCCTATTGGCTGCACCCTGTCCCACCTCCCTATGCGCGCACACCCAGTCAAGTGGCGCCGGACGCGCGCGCGAGTGAGGTCGTTTCTGCGGGCGGCCAAAAGGAAGAGGGGGAGGGGTGGGAGGGCCTATGCGTGCACTCGTCGAACGTCGTCTCTGGCGTAGAGAACATGAATGTGCGAACGTTGAAGAGGCAGCGGCAGCAGCAGCAGCAACAATCGTCGTACACCCTGTTGGAAAAACTCCACCCCCCTCATCCCTCACCCCTTGCTCGCCCAGTGAGGACTGCCCGGTGGAAGGCCAGCGACGTAACGGCGGCTTCCCGGAAGACGCTGGCAACCCGCATTCACCACAGCCCACATTTTCAGATGACTGTTCTTCCTGAGCGAGAACAACATTAGGTAAAGGCCACGGGACCCTCACTTCTCACAGTTTCTGCTGTAAACGACTAACAAGGCAAAACGATGAGTCTCTCCCACTGGGATCACTACGGAAGCATGGAAACTATCTGCTCCTCCGCCTCAACCGATGTGACCCTCGGAGACATGGGGTCTGGCCTACGGCCAGGGCGGGCCTTCCTCCCCTGGCAAATGTCGTACTCGTTAGGAGTCAGGGAACCGGTTTCACATCTATCTCCTGGCGACCCTTCGACATCGCACTCCGTCTTCGCCCCTTACGTGCAAGCGCCCCACCTCATCTATCCCTACGGTGAGCTGCGACAGACCGCAGGCGCCCCGCGACATCTAACACCGCCGCCACCACCACCACCGCCGTTACCACCATCGTCCTTTAACCCACACCACATGACCAATGGGCGGGGTTTGACGCTCGGCGAGGAAGCCCTGTCTCCACCCGCGCATCGATACCCAGAGGCCCAAAATGACCCACACGGTGAGGTGGGAGAGGACCGTGCTGTTGCGATGGCTGCCAACTATGCCCGCTCCTACCTCTATCAGAATTCTGCCTCCGCTGTAGATGCTAGTCTTGGGCCGCACACTTCCGGCGTCTTCACTCCGTCAGAGGAGACTCTGCGATTCAGCCACACACGCAATTTGGACGCCTGGTCACACGCTGTTGGTCCCGGCAACGCCGCCTGCGGTGGGGGCGGTTGTGTCGGCGGCGGCGGCGGAGTCGGTGGCAGCGGTACCAACAAGTGCGCATCCGCCGACTACGCAACTGCGGCTGCCGCTGTGGCTGCTGCAGCTGTCTGCCGACAGGCTCAGTACTTTGAGGACTTTTATGCGCGGAAGAAGTGGAGCAAGAACAAAGGTAAGGTCTGGTCCACGCAGTGCTAACAGGCACGTAGCCTTGGGTGCGCAGATATGTCTGAAGAGAGGTTGAAGTCTATGCGCATATAGTCGCCAGTCTGTTTTGGTTAGATCGTCATCTGTAAATCATTCGGGTGAACTTACCTGTATGTTAAGGCGTTAATTAGTCGGGGTGCTTGATGAAGGCACGGCTACGACGAAGACAAAAAAGGCGCTAACGACTCTGAGAGTTTGGTGGGACGGAAAAATATCAATTGGGCTAAATTCCAACCCAACAAAGCGAACGGAACAGGCACTGAAATGTCGCAATGACCGCTTGCATGATTTCTACGATATTTAGGCATTTGTAACCATGAGTTTTCCCTAGTCTCAACCCTTCTAGCAGACGAGTTCTTGCGCGTGAGCAATCTTGGATAACTCTTTGGATGGTTGTTTGTCTGGGGTGTTTTTACGGACAATTATTCGAAAATTTCCCACTTTGAATATTGGTCGGTAGGAAGGTATGAGGAGGGCTGGCATTATACTGTGCTTTGTCACCCGTGCACTCTAAACTACTCTCGGGACCAGTGTGTAAGCCTGGCACGAATAAGAGAGCTTTCTCTCCATCGGCATTACGTAACATGCCCCGCCCCACCGGTTCTGCAGAACCCTCACCAACAACTACAGGCACCAGGGCTATCAATACTACTACTACTACTACTACTACTACTACTACTACTACTACTACTACTACTACTACTACTACTACTACTACTACTACTACTACTACTACTACTGTTGGTCAGCATTCAGTACGGACAGGAATAACTGCTGCACAGCTTCTGCGGACTTTGTACCCAACGAAAGGGGTGATACAAATCACTCTCATTTGCCTATTACAAACAGACGCAGCTTGGTACTTCTCAAATGGCACCCCTACGACATGTATGCGATTGTACTCAACGAAAGAATTACGAGGCAGGTACAACAAAAGACACACCAAACGCCTGCTCGATTACTACTGCGGCTGTTTTCAGACCCATACCAGACAGCAAACATCGGTAATTAACCAATTTCGTCAAGTTTTGGACATGTTAGTCAAGTTCTGTCCGACAAGAATCTACACGAGCTGATTCCATGCGAGAATTCATCTTTAATGCTCAGTATTTTTAGAGTTGCACACATAAATATTTCGAAATAAGTCGGACACCTGCTACAAAAAATGGATAAATCGGAAGGCAGTTTTCTAACAAGATTGGGAAAGTGGGGGGACGAGCAGGTCTTCTCGAGGATATAACGCAATACCATCATGGTTAAGGGGATGCATTTGACAACGCGATTTATAGGACTTGCAACTTCTGACCGGTGTAATCCGTCCAGCGTACAGCATTACTGAGTCAGCGCAAAATAAACCTATCCACAGTAATAAAAACGTTTGAGTGTAGTAGATACTAGCTGTTACTGCCTCCTTTTCACGGAAAAAACGTCACATGGATGATTGAGTTTGCGCGTCTGCAAAAAATGGGCTAGACAAACCCGAAGGTGACGTTAATTAGTAGTTTAACGAAGAGGGCTAATTGAAGGCGAATACTGTTGTGCTCAATTGATGCATCTTTGAGGGACTTGTTGAACAGAGCCCAAATTTGTGACCCAATCTTAGAACACAGCGGCAAAGCAGTCCTGCTGAAAAAGTCAGAAGAAGACTGACACTACCACTTTTGCCCCAATTTCGGCTGCCAAATTATGAGGAACTGAAAGTTAAACCTGGTCTTAGAACGGCAAATTCCACCAATTGGGTCAGGGGTTCGAGTTCTGCTCGGGTCGCTCGAGATTGAGGTACGGCTGGTTGACCGTGGCAGTCAGGCCAGAAATGGCTGTTCCAGCCTACACTGTTTTTGTCGATACTTCCTCAAGAAAGCAACTTGCATTTTTTATCGGCGTATTTTTTTCATGACAGACAATAGAAGTGAAAAAAACCAACAATACTGATAAATTTAGATATAAAAACAGTACATGAGGCGTGAAAGCTCGGGGGAACTACTGGCATTCTTGAATAAGTTACACAATGAAAAAGGTTGTGCCAATGGCGTTGCAGCGCTAATAACTCCTAGGTGCAATCAAATGGCAACTCACAAGCTGACTTAATGGCCTCACAAAGATGCTCATCTCAACTAACTATGGCTACTCTGTTCACAAATTATCTGTACGCGTGATTTAACGCATTTGTTTGCCTCAGTTTTTGGAGGCTACTGAGGTTATTTGTTTCCCTTAGGGATATGAAGTCGTTACAATCACTTCTGGGGAAATTAAGTGCTAGACCGATGTCTTGTTAAAAAAAAACAGTCACGGGTACTAGTTAAAAGCCCAGACTCGCGTGTTTCGTCGATCTTTTGCCGCTGCCTGACGCAGCTGCGAGAGGTTCGGCTCATCAGTTGGGTCTCCCAGCCTTTTCAGTGTTTTTTTCTGGTATATGAACTCCAGTTTCACCTTGCACCGTATAATTTCCAAGGAAATTAACGTGCGAACTTGGAGTAAATTTTTTGGAACAGACCTTTTCAGGCACGTCCGAAAGTTGATATGAATATATGAGCTGAAATCCATCAACTATTGCGGCATTACCGCGTTACATTAAAAAAAAACAATAGGCAGCCAGTAGCATATGACTGCGTGGCTAGATCGCAGTTGGTAGCCAGGCCCCGTATTACAGGTGGCCGGGGGGGGGGGGAGGGGTTGCTTACTGGGACTATTTTGTTCCATATTCACATCTTATCCATTTGGCCTCCGTTTTACGTCTGAGGTGAGGATTAGGATACCAGTTAATGGTTTCCGATTTTCGGGTTAGGATAATGCCTTTAGGTTTAAGTTTTCGGGTTACGGTTAGGAATTGAACGTAGATTAGGCTTCGGTTTTACGGTTAGGCTTTTCATTTGCGGCTATGCCTAAGGGCTACACTTACGTTTAGGATTTCGGTTAGGGTTAGGGTTGGCGTTAAGGTTAACGGTTAACGTTTAAGTTTGAGGTTAGGGTTAAGGTTATGATTAGGGTTAGGTCGCCGTCCGCTTCTCCATTCCTGGCTACCAACTGCGATCTAGCCGACTGCGTAATTATTTACCACATTGCCAACACAGGCACTAGCTAAAATAACTCTCCGTTAATCCTATGCTGCAGAAGGATTAAGGTTTGTCTGTAGAACACTGACTGCCCAGCCTGGCATGCCGTGATAATAAGGACCGCCTTCTTTCTAGGTCATCGTTATTCCTACTGGAGCATAACTTCGGTCAAAGTCGGCTTAGGATGCGAGCCTCGCTAAGCACGAAGCAATGTGGCCCCTTTTTGTGTTGCGTGCCCGTCCTTGGCTGGCAAAGGCTAGTTGGGCCGACAGTGGGATGCTGGCGCATTTGCAGGCGAGTAAAGTCCACTGCAGCCGTCGCAGCTGCTAGCGACGAAGATAGCAGCTCACGAGTCCGGAACAGTAGATTCAGTAAATGCACCAGTACAGCCCCCATTGCAGATATCGCCATCCAGTTTTTATTAAAACTTCTCTCCGATGCTCAGTTTAGAACGAAAAAACGGGTCAGATCTGGTTATGTAGCCGCACCTGAAGTAAACAAATCCCAGCCACTTGTAATACGGCATCGGTGGTAATAAGGGTTTTAACAGGTGGGGCCGGGGAACGCACAGTCGACGAGGTCAGGTAAGTGTGCGCAAAAGAAAAGCTATTGGAAATGCGCGGTTTTACTTTGAGTGGTTGGGAAGTAGCTGTCCTGACCCCTAACCCTAACCCCTAACCATAACTCCAACAGTATTGTATCCATCAGGTGCGGCTGCATAACCGTATCTTATCCGAAAACTCTCCAAGGCGTTAAAATGGGCCGGACTTTTCGAAGCCCTCGTTGGTCCTTTCGGCGTTCCACCTTTCCGTATTGGGATCCATTATTATATATGCATCCATTCATTATAAGATGTACGTCCTATTGCAGGAGTCTGGAAATGTCGTCAGCAAGCACACAAACACCATTCAGTAGGTGAGAAAATGACACGGCGCAGTATACCAAATGGGTGTATGGCGTGGCCTAGACGTCAGGATCCCCGCCATATCTCAATTTTAGGTATTTTGGTTCACTCAGGAATTAATGTGTCAACATGGAGTAAGTGCTTCGAGACAAGCCATTTCAAGCCCGATTTGAAAGTTGATGCGGATATCGGAACTGAAATTCATCAACCTCAGCATGTGCATCTCACGATTTCAGTGACTCTCTTTTCTTGTCCTTGACCCTAAACTCACAATGGAGGAACCTGCGAAGGCTAGTGTCGTAGAGTCTACTCCAAGTTTTAGCCTTAATCTCTGAGGTATTAAAAGGTTCAACATGGGCAAACTGGAGTTTCTACCAGAAAGCACAAGGGGAACGGTGGGCGACCCGCTGGTGAGCCGAACCCCTGGCATGTGTCGTGCGCCGACGCAGAAACGGCGAACCACGTGTCGGAATTTTAGCTAGTACCTAGGCAGCCAGCATGGTAAATCATGTAATGTTTCATAATTTTTCCACATCTAGCATATATGCACGTGGCAGGATTTTAATTTAATACTTCCTTATCAATAGTGATATGACAGTTTTTCACGCCAAATTTCCCCTAATACAATGTGCATCGAAACGCATGACCCATTAACCAGAAAATTTACACACGGTTTCACATTGAAAAGTTGCATAGGCGAGGTTAAAAAGCTGGCTAGAGGGGAACACCATCCGTGCTAAATCTTACGCTGTGGCATGACGGACTTTGAATGGGTATCTTTCCAGTCATCTGTGCAACTAGTACCTGTTTCACTTGTGTGCACGTTTATATTTTTCACCAAATTCTTTGAACCAAACGGAAAATTACCCCTCACTTTTAAAGACTAGCCATTCTTAGTAATTTTTAAACGTAGCCAGCCTTATTACTTATCATGATCTTTTTAAACAATGTGTCATATATATATATATAATAATAGGCGGCGCTCACCGCTCGTTCTTACGGAAGTCACTCGTTCCGTTCTGCCTTATGGACTC